AGCTTCAATATTCATAACATAACACAGTCAAAGTTTAGTGACCATTAATAATCTAATAATCATACATATAATAGCATCATAATCAGATAACTTCTGAAACTTTTTCTAAGAGATCCAAATGGTCGGTTGCTTCTAGAAGACCCAGTTCTAGTTGTGCTGGGTAGCCATTAGGTCATGCAAAGAAACCAAAGCCATGGCAATCAAAATCCTCATCTGCCTATTTCTATTAGTAAGAGGGTTCTGAGTGTTAGGCGGTGTGCTGAGTGAGTCTTCGCAGCTGGCCTCAGCCCTCGGTGTCACAGTCTCATACCTCTGCACACTGTCGTAATCCTTCTGGAAAAACGACAGCGCAGCCGAGTCAAACGACTCCATCACCACACGGTAACCATTCTCACATTATGTGAGGGCATTTTTGAGTGCAGGGTCGTTTGTGTTGCCAAGCACCTGCCTGATAAAGTCGTGTGTCTTGGTGGCATTGTCTGTGGCGCGCTCTATGGTTATTTGGGTGAGGGCAACAATATCAGCGTTTGGAGACTTCAAATTCTCCTTGAAAGTTTGGCTGCAAAACCCAAACTCCTCCATCTTCCGCAAATATGATCGATCAGTTGTTGGGTGTCTTGAGCCAAAGATGAGGTGATATTGATCACGAGGAAGAAGAGAACCAATAGCATTGGAACACGTGGGGATGAATGAGACTTATAATAGTCAGGGGAAGCCATTGTTTTGATCTTTGTTCAAGGCCTCAAGTAGGGTTTGGTGATTGGAAAATGATGTGTAGAATTGAAGGAGACAGTGTATTTATAGGAAAAACGTTGTCTTGTAACGTCAACTTAAGCTTCAAACCCTTTTGATTTTTCTTCATATTGTATCTCATACATGAACAAAGTCAAAACTAGATGTGTATAAGGGGAATGAAGAGCAAAGTAGATATGATGTTTTTTTGTGTGGACAACGTGGTATTTTGAATTATCATAGTCTATAATCTATGGGAAGGGGGATTCGAATTCTAAGTGTAAAGGAACCGGTAATTTGGACTATTGATTTAATATTGCGTTTTCTTATTAGTATTGTTACGGACACTAACTTCTTGTTCTCAATTTATGTGATATATGACATTGCAATCCATACTGTAATATCTTTTTGGTGTGATATAACACTTTTCGTAATTAAATTTTCTTGATTCTAATTGAAATGTAATGGTAAAAAATCGCTCGTGCTATTTAGCCTATTAATACATTTCCTTATTGGTTTATTTGATTGGGGAAGAGGTTAGGGAAGATTTAATACTTTGGAGTAAAAGTATTATCTTAGTTTTAACAAAAATATCATCAAATCACAAAATTCATGAGAATCAGTAATTAGTGTAATAATATATTTTGAGTGATGGCTAACACAAAGATGTCGTACGGATCTCCTTGTATACGACATATCATTTGGGGCTAAGCTTAGGAACAGCATACACCAACAACAAACCATAGCGGGCTTGGTTTAAACATCAGTCCAATAAACAAAATATATGAAGTTTAAGCCCAACCCAAATCAACCAATCTTAAAGTTTATGTGGCATTAAGATTAGTATGTCAGTTTTGTTTGATTTAATTAAGAACCAAGTGAAACTGCATATTCTTTATATAAATGATTCATTAACCTAAGCCTAAGTTGCCAGTATTTAAGTTACTAATCCCATTAGAAGGCCACAGAACAAAGAAAAAATAAGAAAAAAATGGTTTCATCTAACTCTGCAATCTATTGTGCTATTGTGATCGTTGCTTCTTTTTTCATAGGTTCTTCTTTTGCAATCTCTAACAAGACCCTGACCAAGATTTGCTCCAAAACCCAAAACCCAAAAAAATGTGTGACAAATTTACAAACTGTCCCATGCACCACCTCAGCTGACCTGCCTAAACTCTCACTCTGATTTCAATATTATCCTTCATGGTATCATAGCTTTAGTGACTCACGTCTGTTAATTTTTTTCTAGTCCTTATCATCTACTTATCTTTCATTGCAATTGCTATCATGGCTTCCTCCTCTGCTACTGCGTCTGCTTCTTCTTCTTCTTCTCTTTCCAATAACCATATACACACAACTGTCTCTAATCTTCTGTTCATCAAGCTTGATCGTAACAATTATCCCTTATGATTAGTTCATATTATTCTCATCCTTAAAAGTCGTGGTCTCATGAAATTTGTTGATGACACTAGTAAGTGTCCTCTTTTTTTCTCCAAGTCACTAATGACAAAGGCATAGCTTCTGAAGTTGTCAATTTTGCCTATGAAGAATGGATTCAAACATATCAAATGGTGCTCAGTTGGATTAACAGTTCCCTCATACTAACCGTTTTGGGTACGATTGTTCACTCCACCTCTGCTTGTACCACTTGGTTATCACTTGTAAACCGATATGTTTCCTCAAATCTTATACACATACCTCTCAAATCCAATTCCTACATCAAATTCCTCAAATCAAATTCCTCAAATCTTATACACATACCTCTCAAATCCAATTCATACATCAAATTCCTCAAATCAAATTCCTCCAATCAAAATCCCTCACATTCTCATATCACATCTTACTTCCGCTGCGATGTCCTTCTTGTGCTTCCTCTTAAATTCTTGGACAAAGTGGTTCACCATTCTGTTGTCAGGAATCCCTACGATTCTCCCCTTATTGCAGACTCACAGAAGCATGTGGTCAATCCTGTTGACTCGGCTACCCGGACTTGTGCTTCTATCAACACCACCAAAGGTTCTATTTTTCATACGTCCTCTCAAAAATCAGTATGGATTATCGACTCGGGTGCTACAAATTTCATGACTCACTTACCAAGTTGGGCATTTGTGACGTATATGCACCAACTTGAGGAGAAGTATTGAAGTGAGTCTCCTAATTAATCAAGGAGATTTATTTCCTTGATTAATTACGGGATTTACTTTCCTATTTTTATATAGTTGTCAAATCATTGTATAATTAGGAGATATTTTCCTAATCCTTTACTATATTTAATTCCTTGTAAAGCACTCATGTAAACTCTTATATATACCTCCTGAAGAGATTGCAATCCATACTGTAAGAACCTAACATATTCAAAACCAAATATCATATTTTAGCATATATGAAATTGCAATCCATACTGTAATATCTTCTTCTTTTTTAAACACTTTTCGTAATTAATTTTTTTTTATTCTAATTGAAATGTAATGGTAAAAAATCGCGCATGCTATTTAGCCTATTAATACATTTCCTTATTGGTTTATTTGATTGGGGAAGAGGTTAGGGAAGATTTAATACTTTGGAGTAAAAGTATTATATTAGTTTTAGCAAAAATATCATGAAATCACAAAATTCATGAGAATCAGTAATTAGTGTAATAATTTGAGTGAAGGCTAACACAAAGATGTCGTACGAAATCTCCTTTGTTGTAGACGACATATCATTTGGGGCTAAGCTTAGGAACAGCATACACCAACAACAAACCATAGCGGGCTTGGTTTAAACATCAGTCCAATAAACAAAATATATGAAGTTTAAGCCCAACCCAAATCAACCAATCTTAATTAAGAACCAAGTGAAACTGCATATTCTTTATATAAATGATTCATTAACGTAAGCCTAAGTTGCCAGTATTTAAGTTACTAATCCCATTAGAAGGCCACAGTCCAATAAACAAAATATATAAATGATTTATTAATTTCTTTCCTAATCCTTGTTTAGTTTGTATTTCTTTCCCTCCCACTTAAAAAAGTTGATTTCTTTCGGAATCCTTATTTTGCTTGTATTTATTTGCTATCCTATCGCACATATGCATATTGAAACAAACACCTCTCTCTCTATATATATATATAGAAAGTAAAGTGACCTAGTTTTTGTACAGCTTAGCCTTCTACGTACGCTTCTACTTATAAGGTACGTCACCTGCAATCGCAAATCTCCATTGGTTTCTTTGGCGTTCTTCTTAAGTTTCTGGCACCATGTGTATGAGAGGTGGCGGCACCAGGTCCATGTGTACAAAAAGAAGCTATAGAGCAAGAATATCACAATACCTACCCTCGTCCTCCTGTCATGATCATGATCATCAGTCTGACTTTAAAAGATCCAAAAAATTGCCAATATCCTCATCAAAATTCACGAGTATTGATGACCTGCCTGACCACATATTGGTTGAAATTCTTTGCCGACTCCCACAGAAATCCACTTCTCAATACAAGTGCGTATCCAAAAATTGGTATCTTCTCATCTCTGATCCTTATTTCTTTCGTCGTTTTCTATGTATTCAACATGAACGGCAAAACCCCATTAAACATACCCTCATCTTCTCGGATAATACAGATCGGAAGACGGATTTTTTTTCAATAGAGGAGCAGTTGGGACTACACAGCAAACACAGGCGCAAGTTCTCTTTCAGTTTCCTCCCTTGCTATGGAGCCACAGGAAGAGAACCACTTGTGGTTGGGACCTATAAGGATCTAGTTTGTTGCTGCGCAACTTGGTACAATCAACGTGACTACTACATCTGTAATCCCTACACTAAGCAGTGGGTTGCTCTTCCTCCTACCCCTCGATGTCACAAGGAAGTACGAGCCGGATTCATATGCAATCCTAAGCACCAAAATGATGATGATGACATTGATATTGGAGATCGAAAACAAGAATCCAACAGGTACAGGTACAAGATTGTGCAAATAATAATTCCTATGGTTAATTATGCAACGCCTAATTTTCAGTTCAACTTGCAAATGTTCTGTTCTGAGAGTGGTAAATGGACAGAGGCAGTTGCATTAAGCCCACAAAGTTTTGTTAGTTTGTCTGCTGATGCTGGTGTTGCTCACAATGGGATGTTGTATTGGCGGGGACATGATTTTATTTTTGGCTTGGATCCCTTTTCCAATGATAACCCTAACACTAGTAGTAGTATGATTACTGATGATACTGTTGACCACCATACATTTCATTGTCGTTTCATTGGTAAGCCGGATGAAGAGCGGCGTGCACGTTTTGATTTCCTGGGTGTGTGCCGAGGGCGCTTGCGAATGTGCCAACTGTTCGTCTATTACACTCTGGATGGTCGAAACCACCATGGTGTTAGTATCTGGGAGTTGAAAGAAGATGATCATGATCATGAGGCCAACAACAAATGGTGTTTAGTACACATAGTTTACACCGATCAAATTGTTTCGGAAACTCCACTCATGAGTCGATACAAAAATGTAGGCTTCTGGGAAAGGACTATAATGGTGCAAGATTTCGATCCAAATAACGAGCATGTTTTGTATCTACAATTGTTTAATCGCCAAGTCATGTACGACCTTCGTACTAGAACCCTAGAGGTCGTTATGCTCTGGCCATTTAGTGCTATTGTTTGTCTCGGAAAACGTGTTTTCACATTTGTGATACCATGGTGGCCAACACTACAATACCAATATGCATACGCATCTCCATCTTGATTCTTGACCCATCATATTGATTTTTTGTTTTCTTTTTTACACATAGATTTGTTATTAAGCTTGATGACAAATGACATTATTGTCACATTGATGTATGCAATATCCAAATATATATTATGATTCTATGAAAAAACAAATTTATTTATTTATTTATTTTAACTACTCTTTGCTATAAATATTCAGCCTAGCTCTCCTCCTTGGTCCTACGGATTAATTCATTCATACACATTTTCTACTATTTCTATAAGATTTCTTTCTAACTAGCAGCAGTGACGGGTATGTTGGCACTGTTTATTGCGACTTTGCCATTGTCTTTGGCAACTCTCCTGCTGCAAAAAAACTTACATGTATTTATAGGGAAAAGGTTGTCTTGTGAAGTCAGCTTCAAACCCTTTTGATTTTTCTTCATATTGTATCTCATGCATTCATAACACTGAATCAGAATCCGATATGTTGGTTTCGCATTGATATATATTTATTTATTTATTGCCTACATTCCTATTCAATTCGCTTATTACTTAAATTTGCATCCAAGTGTTTTATATAACAAATCTGAGAGAGCTATTCTTTGATTTTAGCATTAAATCCCAAATTATAAAAGATAATCTTGTAATACATTGCTCGGATTGAAAGCTTTCAATTTAGGCAAGTATATAATTATTTTCCTTGTACGTATTCATATGAACAAAGTCAAAACTAGATGTGTACAAGGGGAATGAAGAGCAAAGTAGATATGATGTTTGTTTTTATTTTTTTTTAAAGACAATGTGGTATTTTGAATTACTATAATCTATGGGAAGGGAGATTCGAATTCTGAGTGTAAGGAACCCGGCAATTTGGGCTATTGATTTAATATTGTGTTTTCTTATTAGTATTGTTACGGACACCAACTTCTTATTCCCAACTTATGTGATCTATGACATTGCAATCCATATTGTAATATCTTTTTGGTGTGATATAACACTTTTCGTAATTAAATTTTCTTGATTCTAATTGAACTGTAATGGTAAAAAATCAAAATAATTCGCATGCTATTTAGCCTATTAATACATTTCCTTATTGGTTTATTTGATTGGGGAAGAGGTTAGGGAAGATTTAATACTTTGGAGTAAAAGTATTATATTAGTTTTAACAAAAATATCATCAAATCACAAAATTCATGAGAATCAATAATTAGGGCCAGTTTGGCATTGCTGTGCTGTGAAAATAATCGCTGTCAAATTTGCTATGAGAAAAATCAGCTGTGAGATAAAGCAGTTTGGTGTTTGGTAAACTTTTTGTTAAAAGTGTTGTTGGTACTAATTCCCACATAATCAGAAAATGATTGCCACATAATCATTAAACCCAACGCCTCTTTGAAACTGATTCTTGCATAATCAAAAAATGAAAGCACCTCATTAGTTGCTTTCCCTTATAGCTTTCTCTCACAGCAATTTTTAACAATAAGTGATTTTCTCATAGTTTACCAAACGGGTTAGGCTTCCCAAATTTTTTTAAAAATCACTTATCACCCCAAATAAGCAATGCCAAACGGGCACTTAGTGTAATAATTTGAGTGAAGGCTAACACAAAGATGTCGTACGAATCTCCTTTGTTGTATACGACATATCATTGGGGGCTAAGCTTAGGAACAGCATACGCCAACAACAAACCATAGAGCGCTTGGTTTAAACATCAGTCCAATAAACAAAATATATGAAGTTTAAGCCCAACCCAAATCAACCAATCTTAAAGTGTATGTGGCATTAAGATTAGTGTGTCAGTTTTGTTGGGTTTAATTAAGAACCAAGTGAAACTGCATATTCTTTATATAAATGATTCATTAACCTAAGCCTAAGTTGCCAGTATTTAAGTTACTAATCCCATTAGAAGGCCACAGAACAAAAAAGAAGAAGAAAAAAAATGGTTTCATCTAGCTCTGCAATCTGCTGTGCTATTGTGATTGTTGCTTCTTTTTTCATAGGTTCTTCTTTTGCAGTCTCTAACAAGACCCTGACCAAGATTTGCTCCAAAACCCAAAACCCAAAAAAATGTGTGACAAATTTACAAACTGTCCCATGCACCACCTCAGCTGACCTGCCTAAACTCTCACTGATTTCTATAGAGCTAGCAGGGAAGCAAGCTGACCAAAACCTTGAGACTTTCAGAGAGCTAAGCCAGAATGCCACTGCAGCTAAGATGAAAGAGGAGTTTGATGCCTGTGTTAGATTTTACAAGGAGGTGAGGCCCCAAATCCAAGCAGCACATCTCTTGTCACAGAAGAGACAGTACGAGAACAATTCAGCTTTGCTTCAAGCAAATGAGTTTGCATTAAGATGTTCATTAGGCATCTCTATTGACTCATTGGAAATTAATCAGCTTCAAGAATCTGTGGTTTTAAAGCTGGACACTTCAATCAGTGTGAACCGATATATTGCTCTAGCGCAGCTAAAAAGCTGTTCGTTAAAGTAGATTATCGCTTATATAAAAAATAAAAAAATAATAATAACTGATGAGGGTTTCCCATATTGGTTGTTTGAACCATTCATACTCTATATTGGTTTCTTGCTCAATGCTTCATATTAGTTTGTTCAAAGGTTGGCCTTCAAAGAACAAAGTGAAAGTCACAAATTGCAAATATATATAAATTAAAAATATATTTAGAACTAAATAACAGAGGACATGAATGATCCTCTTTAGACCAAACAAAATAAGGGTCCTCACACTCCTAATACATAAAAAAATTTGACTCCCAAGTTAAATAATCCTAGGGAGACAAGAAAAAAAAATCCAATACTTTCTATGTAGTCTTCATTCTCTTTGAGAAACAGCAGGGGCCAACTAAGCAGCGGATGGGGCGGTTCTGAAATTGACAACGCCAGCCTCCGACAGAGCCGCCTTGAATGCCTGCAGGTCCACTTGTTCTGGGCCATTTCCAGCCTCGGCTGCAGCCACAATGTTCTTGAAGTCCAATGACTCGTCGTCATAAATGTCCCACCATTTCCTTACCAGCATCTTAATGTCCTCCCTCTCCATGTTCTCCTCCTTCCCAGTATACCTCCATGGCTTAGACCCCTAAACAAAGAACAAACTTTCATTAGCAACTGAGATCTTAATTAGTTGTGTGATCAAGCTGTGATTAAAGATGTGATTAGTACTCACATCAGCACAATAGTGAACAACTTTGACTTGGTCAAGCTGGATGTTCTCAGGGTGACGCCATAGCATGGCCAAAACAAGGTTGTAGTTTGAAGGGATGGGCTTGTACTTGTCCCTGAAAAACACGTTCAGAAAGTCCTGCCAAAATTGCACCAAATTTCATGTCAGATTATATAAATAAAACCCAATTGAGAGGTTTTTTCTGTGGCGGTCCAATATTTACCTGCTCAGCAAAAGAGGTGGTGGGAGAAACTTGGAGGGATCTGAGGAGGTCATGGTAAACGGGCAAGCTTGGCTCATACACAAACATGCCAGCGTTGAAGTAGAGAGGAGGCCTTGGGCCCAACTCAGGGGCCCACTGGACCTTGTCAGGGCACTGCTGGCAGTACCCAATCTTGTACTGTGGGCTGGAACTCCAAGTTTTCTCACAGAAGCAGTCCATCACAGCATAGAAGTAGCCATCTGGGTAGTCAAACAGGTGGTCAATGTTCTTAAAAACTTGGATGTCACCGTCCAAGTAGATCATCTTGCTGTACTCCACAAACTGCAAAAATTCATTAAAAAAATTTAGAACAAATAAAACTTTATAATCCAATTACTATAGTATTATATAAAATTAAGTCAGTTGTTTGGTTATAACCAAGTTTATTCTTCTGGCCGTACATTAAATTAGTTTAGAAGTCGATTTATTAGAAAAAAATGAAAATTACTATAGTACCCTTAAAAAACCTTACCGACAGGACACGCGTTGAAACCCAATAACCTAAAATAAAGAGACACGTGTAGAAAGCATGCAAACGCAGAAATGGAAAATACGTTACCTCCCAAATGCGCAGCTTGGAGTAGTTGATGACGTAGTAGGCCATGGCGAACTGGGTCTGGTTGGGCGGAGGGTACACAGGCTCGATCTCCTTCACTATGCAGCCTTGGGAGACCAGGATCTGACGGTGCTCCTCGGGGACATCTGGCAAGATGGCCACAACCAGAGGGTACTTGCTCTTCACTTTTCTTAGCCCCTTGGCCAAGCCAACCACACCCTTCACATAGTCACCGGTGCCGGCCAGGAAGGTGACGTAAGCCCTGCTGGGCCCACTGGCTGCCTTGGTGGCGGGGACCATGGTAGTGGGGGTGGTGATATCTGGAGCCATGGTGGTTGAGCTGAAGTGGGTTATATGCTAGGTAGGAAGAGAGGAAGGTTAAGGGTTTGAGGAAGTGCTTAAGGGTTTGAGGAAGTGCTTAAGGGTTTGAGGAAATGCTTCGAAGAAAAGCGCTTGTGTTTGCTTAAGAATGTTTTGAGCTTGATGTTTTGGATGATGAAGTTGAAGTGGGGGGTGGGGTTTATATAGGATTTGGGGGCAGTAATTTTATTTTTTTTAAATTGATTTTGGGATGGGGAAATTACGGGATGGGTAGGATTAATTATGGTTAAAAATGCAAGCTTATGGTAAGTAGTTAATAATACTGCTAGTCTAGGAGGAAAGTTTTGGAGGAAGATTGGTCTTTGGAGTGTCACTTTTCCACTGGGGGCCCATTAGTCATTAACATAATATATTCAAAGATGAAAGAATCTTCCTCCTAAATCTTCAAGGCGTTATCTAATTAAAAATCAATATCAAAATTCAATGTGGCGGATTTATGCCGACAGTATAAGAGACCAGAGAAGATTATGGCACTGGACGATGCATGACATGGGCTACAAATTAATTAAATAATAAACTGTTGATCCTCTAAGTCTAAGTCCACCATTTTGATTTTCATAGACGATTTTAACCTTGTATTTTTTTCATTATTACACGTGCAATTCATACTAAATTGTCGACGCTGCTTTCATGTAGTGGGGAAATTTATTATAACCCAATATCATCTTTTAAAATATGGGGAAATTTATTATAAAGTAAATTATATATTAAAAAATTCCACTTTTTACGGAAATTAATTATTTTTTTATTTCAAACTTAAAAATATCTTTATTTGTTTTTGTTTGAACGTGAAAATATCTTTCTATTAAGAAAAAAGGCGCCAAAACCAATGATATTTATTTTATTAAAAAAATAAAAAAATTGCAGGGGTAAAATGGTAATAGAGAATTAAGAAATACATATGTTTATATTTGCTCCACCACCACCGACCAGAGAAGTTGCTGTGCCAACCAAACGAAAAAGACCAAACCTCTAAATCTCCTCACACGAAAACTCACCGGCTCCTGAAACCTGGCACGCTCTCTGTCGACCTGAAAATTACTAACGCGGGGCCCGCCAATCACACCTCACCACGTAAAAACCAACTTTCACCCAAACCACCGGTCACTTTTGGGATATTAGTGCAGTAGGGTCCATTGGATTTTTTACGTGTCCCACGATTGAAAGGGGAGTGACATGTGGCAGCATCCAACTTAGAGAACAGATTTGCCCCACGTGGCCTAAGGTAGACCCTCCTAGAAGCAACCAGGCACCCCTCTTTATTTTTTTTTATTTTTTTATTTTTTCTAGTTTTGTTAGTTGGTCCAAAGTAAGACGCGTTTGAGTTTAATTAGCACAAGAAATTAAATTGGTGGGGCCAATTTAAATTAAATTAGGATAAGAGGGCCCCATTACTTCATAGGATAACGCTAACCGACCAGATCTTTTGGATAATATTTTGGGTTTTTGTAGTAAATATGTTTAAGATAATGTATTTATGGAGTGTGAACTATTGGACTATTTGCTGACCTACTTGGCACGAAAATAGCACAAGCTGAGAAAAGTGACCGAAAATGGCTAATTTTTTTATAAAAAGAATATTCGGTCACATATTCTAGGATTGACCGATTCCTGAAATTTTGGATCTCTGATTTAACGGTCAAGACTCTTCGGATTATTTGTCATTTCCTGATTTTGAGCCACTGATTTGTATCTACTCTCCTTTTGGCATTTTTTTTTGTATTTATTTAGTATAGGAACTTTCCTTCTTAAGTTCAAATTGATTTGATATGTGATTTTCTCATTCCTAGAATTGTTTTCCAATTAAACTAAGCAAAAAATTCTAACTTTAAAAAATTGTAATTTGAAGTTTAAGTTGTTAATAGAAGCAGTTGAGATTATATGTTCGAAATCTATTCTATTTATTCTCCGTATCAACTGATTGAGAAAATAGTGTTTGGTTATTCAATTTGTCACACAAAAAATGGTCCAAAGCTGTTTCTGAGAGGCAACGCAACCCGTATTCAAATGTGCCCCAGAAGGAGCAATGTGGTTGAATCTGAGTGATTGCTTGGAATTGTTTTGTTTATCTTTGATTGTTGATAGTTGTTACAGTTATTCATTGCCATACGCCAACCCAATCCATTGGAACAATTCAAAGGGCTAGTCACACAGTTTATTTTTGAATAATATGTTAGACTTTTGCACCAACATTTCTAGATAGTCTCTGGACTTGACACTGAAAGTTTTAAGATAATGTTTGGACATTGGACTAAATCCCAACCTCTGAAGGAAGATGGTTGCTAATTGGCTCAAGGGGATTTGCATTGAAGAAAAATAATTTGGAAAATTATAGCACCATAGATTTGAGAAGTAACAAGTCTCTTGATCCTGATTGATTTAAATGGAGGGAGCAAAGCAAAAGAGATGATAGCAATTAGCTTTGGAGAACCAGACTTTTTCCAAGAATGATGTCATCTGTTGAGAAATCAGCTTCTTTCCTGAAAGTTCCTCTACCAAAGTCTAGGTTGTAGGAGTCTGCAAGACCTTCCACCAGGTCAAAATCAGGTTTCAAGCCAAGCACGCTCTTTGCTTTGTCTATCGATGCAAAGAAATGCTGCAACAAATCAACAACATAATCAATCAAACTTGGTTAGATAAGGTTCCACCTTATTCAAGTTGTGAACTATTTGGGGTTTTTTTTTTTAAGCCATGCATGCTCTGCAACCATATTCACCTGGTCACGGAATGGAAATGCCTTCTTCTTGCCGAAATCAAACTCTTTGGGGTTGTAGTGAACGATCTCAGGTTCAGGAAAACCACCAGCCTAACAAAAGAAAAAACATATGACAGACTTTAGTTTGAGAACATCACAAATCTTTTGTCCATCTACAAAGTCATTACCTTTGCACATGCTTTTGCTAATCCATCAAAGGTGACGTATTTTTCTCCAGAGATGTTGAATACTTCCTTGCTTGCCTTTTCATTCCCAAGAACCTTAATGAAGGCTGTCGCTAAATCCTGCAAACGAAATCACATTAAAAACTTGCCCTCATGCTGCAATTTCAATATGTATATATATCTAAAAGTACATTAAGACTGGCACGTCACTAACCTTAACATGACCAAGTTGTGTTATTTGTATCCCTGAGTTTGGAACTGGGATTGGGCGGCCAGCTTTCAACCGGTGGAAGAACCACTCTTCAACAGGGTTGTAGTTCAATGGTCCATAGATGTAGACTGGCCTTATAGAAGTCCAATTGACACCCTTTGATTCGAGCAAGCTCTCTGTCTCAAGCTTTCCCTTGTGCCTGCTCTTTGGATCAACTGCATCGGTCTATCACCAGGCCCCATCAAGTTAAGAATTATGGAAAGACAATAAAATGAAATAGGGAGGAGAAAAAAGTAGCATAGAGGAAAAATAAGTTAGGAAGAGCATCATCAATACTCTAGAGCAACTAATTAAGCTTCAATTTCCACACTGCCATGATAAGATTGATTTGAAATTTGAATCACACTACAAGAGTACTAAAAACTACAAATGTCGGCTAAGAAGAGACTGAGCTCAACAATGAGAAAAGCATGTTTGCATCTTCCGACATGCCAAATTCAGGTAGGTAAAGTCTGGATTGGCCTTAATTATTTCCAAACTTGATTTTCATCTGCTCAAATCAAGTTAAAAGTTTTAGAACCTTTTCATTTATAATTTTGTCTAATTGGGAAGGCTATTCTTCAATCTCTGCCTTTGACAAAGATCAAATTGCATTTCACAGTTGTATCCAGAAAACAAAGCCTTGTTTACATGCTCTTTGAACAAAGATCCAACTTCCCAAAACATGAATAAGTAAGCCATTTATAACATCATACATACCTCAAAGTGAGGTAATTGATCAGATTTGAGATAGACACCGGCTGAAGAGCAGTATATATACCTGAGAATCAGTGGAATTCTTAGATCTTCTAAAATTTGGCATTATATAGAAGAGAAAATAACTGCAATTCTATATCTTTTCCGCATCAAAACATTAGTTCTACCCTGCTAGAACAATGTAGTCAAACAAACCATAATCATTAATCTGCACTATAAAATTTGATTGTTCCAGGTCATGATTGATTCTTTAGTTCCATTTTGACTCACAATTACATCTCTCACTACATCATTACCATTGATCTTCTGTACACCTGATTATATCAGCTTGCTTCTCCTCAATTTAAACATATTTACCAGGCTTATTTTCCTTACGGAGATAGTAAAATGGTAAGCCCCAGTAAAAGGTGCTTGACTTTATGACGGAGAGATTGTAGAATTTCCAAATCTTCCATACTCCAGAATATTTTGATAAAATCTCTTGTGATAGTCTTGTTTCTTCTAACCAGAAGCCAATATTACACACAAAGCATAACATGTTTGCTAATTAGAGTTGACTTCTACTTCAACGAGTCCCAACTAAAACCGTATCCAGGACAAGATGACTATAGTGGAGAACCATCAAGAAATAAAGGTGAAAAATAATTAAGTTGCTTTACTAATTAGGATATGAAAATCCATTAGTAGGCTGTTCTTACTGTTCTAAGTTCGGTAGTCCCTCCACTATTGGCACAACTTCCTCTGCCTCTCGTCCTGAAAATTTCCAACAGAAGTACAGATTATTGAGCAGAAGCGTGAGTATAGTAAAGAAGAACTTTATTCTAGTGCAAAACTTTAAAGTACAGAGGCTAAAGGTAAAGACTATGCGCACCATTTATATCATAAACAACATCAAAGCCTTCAGCTGAAAGACTGGATTTCACAAATTCGTAGTCTTTTCTGTCTCCTTTCAAGTGCAAAATCTAGCCGAACATGATTATTAGAAAATGGAAATCTGGGAAAGAATTCCAAGTTAAAGTGAAGGACTTTAAATCCTTAGTGACACTAGTACAATACCTTTGAAGCAAAATCTGTGTAGTCCTTATCGGATTCACCTGGCAACTGTTGAGTGATTGGTGCTTTTCCTCTGGTAAACAGAGTCACCTGCCAAGATAAAAACTTGATGTTATAACTTATCAACGTATTGAAAACATTGTTAAAGGACAAACCAGTTTACAAGTACATTGGTACAATATAACTTGAAAAAATAAAATAAAAGCAAAACCATAATGGGAAAATGATAGAAAGGAAAAAGTTCGAAACTTGAAAGAGAATGAGAATACCTGATGACCCTCTTTGACAAGGAGTCTTGACAAGAACAAACCAATGAATCGGGTGCCCCCCATTATAAGAATCTTCTTTGCACTTGATGCTGTAACTTGCAATGCTACTTTTGGCTGTGACACCCTTCTTTTACACTGCAACAATTAATAGATGGCCGCTAACTAAGAAATGCATGTAAAGTTAAACACTTTCCTACAAATGGGTTAAATTGACTGAACAAAGAAAAGCTAGCTTCTACCCATTACAAACAAGAGTGAGAGAGGACCTGGAGTTGGGAGTGAAGTAGTCTGGTGCCATTGAAGTCAGAGAGAGAGGAAGGAGGAAGGAGAGAGAAGGAAGGGTGTCTCTGCTGCGGTTGCACAGCCACCAACCGTGCCATGCCTCTCTTCTATTACTAGAATTTTCTATCCACCACGAGACCAACCTTCTTCTTCTTCTTTCTTTCTTTCTCTCTTTTGGGTTCACTGAAATTCTTGAAATATTCATGTCGTCGTCTTCTTCTTCTTCTCTTGGCGTTCTCTCCTTCGAACATTCAGTGAGGATAAGAGGATATGACCCACCACCACTCTTTTTTGATTTGTTTATATCCACACTCCAACGACTCCTCAGCCTCTCATTCAGCCACTCAAAAAAAAAAACACATACGTCAAAACGACGCCGTACCGGCCAACACTTTCGCGCCTTAAAGCTGCAATGCCCATTGCTCCGAAACGGCAATGAGTTGGGTTGGGCTTTTCAGTTGGGTTAGGTTTCGGGTTAAATTTTGGGCCTTTCTTTCGTTCTACAGTTTTGGTTGATGGTAAAAACCCCAGTAGCCCAGCAATCACAGAATCTGAATCCAACAAGGTGGATGCGAAGAAGCAGAGTTCTGCTGTTGAAGAGGTTAAAGCAGGTTTTTTTTTTCTTCTGTTTCGTTGGCTTCAGAGAGAGAGAGAGAGAGATATATGCTAATGAGCTAATCTGCGATTATATTCATCTCCACAAGCTTCACTCTCGTTAAATTTACCGCCTTGACGAAAATAGAGAGATGTTGCAGTGCATTTTTCTGCTATCAGATTCTGGGTAAGTCACCAAATCTGTGAATTCTATTATATCATAGCTAATTACTATTTTTTTTTGTTCTTTTGTTTAATAACGTTAAACCCAGTTGAATTTGTATTGCTTTTGTTTAGTCATTGAATTTTCTCTTTTAGAGATTTCCCATTTGATCTCCAAATTTAATTGACGAATTTTAGCAGAACAAAAAAGATTTCACTTTATGCTAATTTTTGGGATTTCACAGTGAGGTAATGCTGGAGAAACAGCTTACTGGGCAGCGTGTGGACCGTTCCATATGTGCATGGTTTTGGGAACATACCATTTCTCAAGGTGATTTCCCCAAGGTACCTATGACAATCTGGCTTTTTGTTTTTGGTTCCCAAATTGTATATTTTCTAGCCTCATTCTTAAGTTTTTTGGTTGCCACATTATCAATTTCCATTTTTCATGCTTCTCAATATAATATTTGTGGTTTTGTTATTAGCTGCAACCAGTGATTGCTTCACCAACCCATTATCTTTTCCAAATTCTTCGCGAGGGGATAACGTTTTTAGCATGTACGCAAGTTGAAATGCCGCCTTTGATGGCCATTGAGGTGAATATCAATGCTGAATGTAGTTTGCATTTATGATGTCATTATGTATGCATTAAACAAGATTGACCTTTAACCATTTGACTTATAGTTCCTTTGCAGGGTAGCTGATGTCCTTTCAGATTATCTCGGTGGCTTGAATGAAGACTTGATAAAAGATAACTTTGTCATCGTATATGAGGCAAGTGTCTTAAGTACACTTATTCTGCTTATTTTGATTTCATGAGTGAATGCATTACTGTCATCTAGTGTGTTAATTTCTCCTAGAATGCGTGTCTGTTGTGTGGACAAATGTTACCCTCTAAGTCTGTGATTGTTGCGTCAACAGCTTACAATGTAGAATTTTAGCAACACGGCCAAGTTCAACATCTTACCCTCCATGGCTGTGATTGTTTACTTACTAGAACCTGGCTGCTAATTAGATAGAATCTAGTGTTTTCCATATTGAGTTTTGCTTATTAAATTGACCAAAATCTTTACTGCAATGTGCAGCTTCTGGATGAGATGATTGACAATGGCTTCCCTCTCACTACAGAACCTAATATTCTGAGAGAGATGATTGCTCCACCAAATATAGTTAACAAGATGTTGAGTGTTGTGACAGGCAACAGTTCCAACATGAGTGACACACTTCCAGGTGCAACATCATCTTGCATTCCATGGAGAACAGCAGACCCGAAATATGCTAACAATGAAGTTTATGTTGATCTTGTTGAAGAAATGGATGCAATTGTAAACAGGTCAATCATTTCTTTTTAATGCTTTGATAAGATATCTCCATCCTTTTCTTTTTCCTCTCTGATAATGACATTTTGATATTGTTACCTGTGGTATGGATTAAAGATTCCATGTATTAATGACTATGCTTCCTGTTCGTAATTGGTGACTCTTTACAATCTAGAAACAGACAGATAAGGAGCTTGGGATATTCTATTCATTTTTCAAACTATATGAATCACATGGCCTATTCAAGTGAATGCAGAATTTTGTTCACCCTTTTGCTTCTGCAATCTTTTTGAATAACTTGGATGAGAATAGTAGTGCCTTATCTGAAGTTTGAAGAGGAGAATAATCTATTTGAATATAATGGTTGCAATTTAATTTATAATTTTATAAGACATGTTATCATTTATGGATGGTGATGATTATTGTATGAAGATTTTCAGATTTGATAGTTATAATTGAATGCTTTGTATGATTATAATTTATATCTCAAGGTTTTGTACTTAAAGTTGTGTGTGTGCTGCTCAGGGATGGGGTCCTGGTGAAATGCGAGATATATGGTGAAGTGCAAGTGAACTCCCATCTCTCAGGTGTTCCTGATTTGACTCTTTCATTTGCAAACCCTTCTATTCTTGATGATGTAAGATTCCATCCATGTGTTCGATTTCGCCCTTGGGAATCCCAACAAATTCTGTCATTTGTGCCTCCTGACGGACAGTTTAAACTGATGAGCTACAGGTGTGTGGTGTTAAAGGGACACTTAGGTTATTAAAATTTACTCTGTTTTTATTTAAGTTTTGGACAGTACTGTAGCTTGTTAAGGGTAATATAGTTAATTATTATGGTGCTCAATATCTAAATGGGCAATATGGATGAGTTTGGGGGCAGATACTAAGACTACTTAATAAAGTGTGCAGTATTTCAGTATCTCTGGCCTTGTTTTATTTTCTAAATAATTCTGTACTTCTTTATGCAGGGTTAGAAAGTTGAAGAGCTCTCCAATCTACGTAAAGCCTCAGCTAACCTCGGATGCTGGGACATGTCGTGTGAGTGTGTTGGTTGGAATACGAAATGATCCTGGAAAGACAATTGATTCAATAACTGTGCAATTTCAACTGCCTCCATGCATTTTATCAGCTGATCTGACTTCAAATTATGGAACAGTGAACATTCTTGCTAATAAGGTACTAACAACCCAGAATCGTGATTTAACTCATCCTTGGCACGACAACCGCCCTTGAGTTTTGATTATCAGTTGTAATCTTAGATGAAATCGTAGTGAATGTCTTCTGCTTGTCTTTTCTAAAGACAAATAATATTCTTCACTTCTGTAATGCTTTCTGATTGCAATATCTGCAGTTTTAGAAAAAGTTTATGAGAATGCATAATTCTCCTGGTTGGATTTCGGTTTTAATATAATGAAAGCTTCTTGTTTTTTGTAGACTTGCTCATGGTCAATTGGGCGGATTCCTAAAGACAAAGCCCCTGCAATGTCTGGAACATTAGTGCTTGAGACAGGATTAGAGCGCCTTCATGTGTTTCCCACATTTCAAGTGGGTTTTAGGATCATGGGTGTTGCTCTCTCTGGCTTGCAAATAGATAAACTGGATTTGAAAAATCTACCAAAACCTCCTTACAAGGGTTTTCGAGCTCTCACTCGAGCAGGGGAATTTGAAGTCAGGTCATGAATATGAGTTTTAATTTGTGAAGTTGCTCGGAATGAGATTAATTGTCATCATGTACTGCAATGCGTCATTTGTAAATTTGTGTTTTGTAACATATCATCTTGGTCTTGAGAGTATCTTTAATTTAGCTGTAATTCATTTCTGAAGATTTTGTCCCCTGTACTGCAAATTAGAAACTGACTGAAAATAAATAAATAAATACAATGTTTGTTTGAGATGGTGTTAGAATTTTCAATATTTCACATTTGAATTGCCTCATGTTATTGGTTTTGATTATCATATTCATCCACAATGGTTTTGAAAAATTGGAATCGGGCACATCATTCAATTGGACAAATTTCTCAAATGTGGACAACATAACATACTGCCAAAGAAAAATCTTACAACAACTAAGAGCATACATCAAATTAAACAATCAATGTTTTGCGGAACCAGAACTGAAAATTGGCATCCCAAGAGAAAGGATGACAAGGAAAAGGAAACCTTGGATTACAAAATTTTGTACAACCGTATGTATCTAAGCAGCAATCTTGTTCACTCTGAAGGACTCCATAACCCGGCGAAGATCACTTTCTTCTTCCACAAACACATTTTCTGGTGTTTGCAATCTCAACTCGTATAACTGGTTGTTTTCAACTCCTAGAACAGAAAGGTACCGCCTGTCCCATTCCAGGCGAACTAATCGGTCTTTCGGCATAACAGCTAGCTCATTGTTGTTTGCATATGATTTTATGTTTACCTAGAAGTCACATTTCAAAAGAACATAATAAATAAAGTACTCAAACAATGCAGGCAAAGAACTTAAAGCAAACCATCAAAGTGAGAAATGCTTCTTTCAGAATTAGTTGGCATACGTAGATCATATAATTTCTACCAAACCAAAGGAAGCCTAGAGTTCTTCAACCCCACCATTGAGGCAGATTATGGCTGATCTAATAAGTGCTGTAAAATGCATAGAAGAGACATTTACAAACATCTCAATCAATCACCACCTTACCTCGACTTGATAATAAAGCTTCCCATCATCAGCAATTCTTGAAGATGTGGAAAGAATTTTTGATTCGCGCCTCACGCCAAGTCTTGTAGACATGAACTCTGTCAGGTACTGCTTAAGTACTTTCTTTCCGGCTTCTTGAGGTGGACCAAGATCTTCCACGCTCTTGTAGTTGGAGGATGAAGGAGAGGAAAACTCCACAGAGATATTTTCATCAAGAACATAAGGGTCTCTAAAGAATATGTCTGCTCCAGCACCTCGGACTTGGATCCAGTTAGAAGGGTACTTGAATGAATACCCATCAAAACTATCTATGTATTCCCTTAACCCAATAACAGATTGTTGAGCAAATGCAACACTCTGAAAACTGACTCCAGAGAAGATGTAAGATGACAAGATTAAGGCCATTGCATTCCTCCTAGGAACTGCAAAATCTTTAGTCTGATTATATATTAGCAATATATAGTAAGTAGAAAATATTATGTGGAATTTTCATGTCAAAGTCACAAATGTGTGCCATAGAG